GAAATCTCTGCATGAAAGGCATATGAGGATCATAATTCTTCAACTTTTGGAGTAGGAGTGAGCAGCGAGTGGTGAAGAAGATAGCTGTTTGGTTGGCATTCTCTTCTTGGTCATTCAGAGCAATTTCTTCTCTTCTATCATAAGGTTTACAACTCCTTAATGTTCTAATGGCATTAACTTGCTCCTTGCCTCGTGGATTAACTTCGGGTTGACTTGGGAAATGCCTGGATTCTCTTTCACTCATTGTAGCAGCGATTTGACTGACTTGTGTTTCCAATTTATCGATGGCTTGACTATTTATTTGCAGCCCTTGTTGGAGAGCCTGCAAAACTTGAGAGGTGGTTTGTTGATATTGCGTATTAGCTTGAACCATCTGAGCAAAAGCTTCTTCCCAAGAAGGTTCTTGGTTTTTATAGGTGCTGCTCCTTGTTGCCATGGCTTGGATCCTTGGTTAAAATTATTATTCCAAGCTAAATTAGGATGCTCTCTCCACCCTGGATTATAAGTATTTGAGAATGGGTCGTTTCTTCGACGGTTAAACGCGTTGACTTGATTAGCCTCCTCAACTTCTTAACAAGTACCACTTTGAGGACAAAGATGAGTAAGATAGGTCTGAGCAGCACAAATCCCACACGATTCTGCATTCTTGGATAACATAGTCACCACATTATCTAATTTCCTTGATAGTGCAGAACTTACTTCATATGCAGAATTCCGAGTTAACTCTCTACTATCCCATTGAGATGAATTTGCGACAACATTCTCAATGATAATAGTAGCTTGCTCTTGTTCTTTACCAAACATATTTCCATAAGTTGCAGCATCCAATCTATGTCGGCATTCGTCACTCAAGTGTTGGTAGAAGTATAAAATTAGTTGCCATGGTAAAAACTGATGGTGTGGACAATTAATTATCAAAGCTTTAAATCTCTGCCATGCTTGAAAAAATGGTTCTCCCTTGTTCTGCCTAAAGTGAAATATGTGATCCTTCAACCTCTGAGTTCTAGACTGAGTGTAAATCTTTTGAATGAACTTACTGGAAAGTTGAGTCCAAGAGGTAATTGATCTCGCTGGCAGAGTCTTGAACCAGGTTCTAGCATCACCCGTGAGAGAAGAAGGGAAAAGCTTTGGGTCAATGAACTCATCGGAGATGCCTTTAATATTTTGTGTCCCATAAATATCCAGAAAGTTATCTACATGTTCACTAGCATCTTGATTCTCATCACCAGAAAACTTGGGCAACATGTTAATAACATAATCTTTGATCTTATAGCATCAAGTTCAGGATAAACTATGCATGATTGTTGAGAAGAAAATTGCGACATAAAGAAATCTTGAATGGTTCGAGGCACACCACCATTATTGTCGTTTGCAGCCATATCTTCCTGTTCGCTCTTCTCCTTAGCCTTCTCTTCTCTTTATTCCTTGTGAATTTGCCTAAGCTTTTGTTCAATCTCTGGTTCGAATTCCACAAACGGAATGTCTAAGGAATGAGTATCGATCATTCACTTACAAGGAACCAAAGAAGGATTTCAGTAATATGCTTGCAAATGCGCTGCAGAAAAACTAATGATGATTAAACAGCGATTAATTTAAGTGAACACAAAGAAAACATAAACTAGAGAAGTCAAATTCCTAATACCTCACGGATTACACTATGTTTGTACCATACTTAGGGCCTCCGTATTTAGATCTCGTATAAATACTCGGGGGATTCAAATGTAATTATGTAATAAAGGAAGGGGCAAATATGTAATAAGTGAGGAGCCCTTATTCTATAAAATGACTCCTCACCCTCATAATAAGGGAGGCCAATTTCTTAGGCCATGGAAGGGCTCTCTCACCTTCAGAAGCTCTCTCCATCTCTCTCCCTCACAAACAGATAAATACATAATCAGTGTGAACGTAGCCCAAACATTAGGGTGAACCACGATACATCTTGTGTTATTTACATTTCTTGCAAATTCACGGGTTGATTTACTTTGTTCCAAGACCTCCGGTTTTGTGCATCAACATACTACAAACAAAAGACTTTAATTGGCTAAAGGAGAATGAAAAGACTCGAACAAACTAGTGAGAAAATGATGTTGATTAATGGTAGAAACAAAACTCCAACTGGAAAACTAGAAGACTCGGGGTGGTATAGGAGAATGAAAAGACAAAAGAAGGTATCCTACTAGAATATGATAACTGACCACTAATAGTCAAACAAGGAAAAGTCTAATTGACAATTCAATGATTTATGCAACCAGCAATTATATATACTAGCATTTGCCTACATACTTTGTGTGTATGAACACATGTTTTTAGAAAATGAGAAGGATAGAGGGAGAGAAAGAGAGAGAGAACATGGGGGGGGGTTTCGTTTTTGGTTTTTTATTTTTTATTTTAATTTAAAATATTAGAGAAATTTTAACATCACCTGTAGGTGAGGCTTCAATAAAAAACAATAAAATTTAGACCTGTGAAATTACATTATTGCCCATCATTTTTTTTTTTGTGATAGAAAACTAAGTTATATTTTCACCATCTTTTGGTTGACAAAGAGAGTTTCATTAATTAGTAGATCTATATATATATAATATGAAAACAAAAAGAAGATAAAGAACATAAACAAAGGTAAAAATAAAAAAATAAAAAAATAAAAAGAAGATTAAAAAAATCAATTAAGTAAAGTGTAATCAACAAGCCGAGTTGGGATTAAGGGGCAATCCCCAGCAACGGCACAAAAAACTTGATGTGTATTTAAACTAATCTAAATAATAGATTAATTTAAACCAAATTAAACTCGCAAACGCACGAATCAATTGTAAAAATATATGCAAATACAAGGTTGATCCCACAGGGATTGCTTTTAATACCAATTCAACCAGCTGATTACACGAAACTTAACTCAACTAGGAAACAAATGATTGATTAATTGATTATGAAAAATAACTAAAACTCCAACTTATAATCAAACGAGGAATATGATTAAAGAAAACACACAACGAATAAAGGTTTACCGAATTAATATGATGAAAGCCTAAGGTCATGAATCCACCAATAACAATCCTATTCCCTTTTCTTCAAGCCGATTACTATCCAATTATCATGCCAATATTTAAGGTTGTTCTTTCTAAGAAATGAGATCTCAGTCAAAAATGTATTTTACCTCACTCTTTCGTCTATTCACTTTCTTCATCCCTCATTCTCTCCTCCTATATGTAAAAAAAATATCTTTTGAGCTACTTATTGTTGTATAAAAGTAGGAAGTCAAGAAGTGTTTTCTGCATTTCATTGAAGAATGGAAGCTCCATGAAGTACATTTGCCTTGTAGCGTTTCTTGCAATTCTCGCCAAATGTACTTCATTTAACTGATTTATGCCGAGAATTGGAAGCTGGTTGCGCATCAGCAACACAGGATGAAAATGTAGCAACTTTTGCTAATTGATGCAGCTAAGTAAAAAGGAAAGTTCTCGTGTGAGTTCCCAGAAACAAAACCGTGAAGGCGTTATCGGGGCCCAAAGCGAACAATATCGTACTATAATATAGTCGAGCCTAGGATGTGGTGGGGGCCCGGGTCGAGATGTGATAATTTGGTATTAGAGCCAATCCTTAGCCGGAAGTGTGCCAATGAGGACGTCGGGTCCCTAAGGGGGGTGAATTATAACATCTCACATTGCCCAGGAGAGTGGATCATCTATCCTCTATTTTAGAGATTCCAAAAGCCTTTAAAGCTTTTTATTTATTTATGGGAAAGTGTCCAGGAGCTTTGGAATTATTCTGAGAACAACTTGTTCTTTCCAGGAGCTTTGGAATTATTCTGAGAACAACTTGTTCTAGTCTAAAAGAATGGAAATGATCCTCGCCAGATCCTTTTTCTAGGGATCAGAGGATCCCGTGATCATAACCGTTTATTGTATATCGTTCAGTTAGTTTTTGTTAGGTACTATTTATATTTAATTTTAAATTAAAATGATTTTTTACCGCACGATGTACGATGAACGGTCATGATCACCGAATCCTCAGGAAAAGGATTTGGCAAGGATCATTTTCCTAAAAGAATTATGATTTTACGCAGGTAATAACTCTTTCTTTTAACAAAAAAAATTACTAAACACTCAACAATTTTATTTTACAGTTTTTTATTTTTATAAGACAACATAATTAGTTTTTTTTATTTAAAAAAAAGCATAGCAATACCAAATTAGCCTTAAAGAGGTGGGCTAAGCCTCACAATAAGTGAGTAATAATGTGGTTCAAATTTGATTTTCGTGAGATCAACTTAAGCCCTCTCACTTGTAAGATAAGATAAATACAACTAGACTGTAGTACTAAGTGATTTTGTGTCTACGACCCCTTAAACTACACTATTTTTCTAATGTGGTACAATCGAGTCCAATGTATATTAACAAATTCATCCGTTATCATATTAGCATTCTTCATATATGTCAATCAAGTTGTTAACAAATAATAATTAATAAAAAAAAGTTTTAGCAGTAAAATCTTATGAACGATAATTGTTGAGTAAAAATAAACTGTAAAATAAATCATAGAAAAATATTTGAATAGAACCAGTTACCAAAGTCACAACTTGCCAAATTGTTCCCAAAATATCAAATCTGTCGAACGGTTTGCAAGAACTTGTCTGAGTGCTCCCAAAAACCACTCCAAGACAAAAAACCATACCATGGTCCCCCATTCATGCACCTCCCAAACCACCCCAATCCTCTACCGCCTCCCCTCAAAATGCACAAAACCCGCATCCCGACCGTCCATTCCCCATCATCCTCAATCCTCCCGCTAAATCAACGGTCAGAAACCCAATTACAAAATCCCGCGTCACACACGAATACTTCCCCCATGCAAGTTCCACGAGGTTTTCTCCCAGCCCGGCACGCAGAAAAACCCCAGAGACCCTGTTGGCGGTCTTCTTGTCGTTTTCTCCGCGTCAGCACCATAAACCGTGTGCCCACTACCCCCGGAAATCCGAGCTGACCCGCATCTCTCACCACTATATGATTCCCAACGGCTTCCATTTCTCTCTGCAACTATCCAACTCAAGTACTTGAATTCCACTCGGGTCAAAATTCGTGACACCATCGAAAACTCCGAAAATTCAAGATGTGTAGATCGACGGACTTCCACGGATTTCAGTCGCGGAGAGACCGATTGAAGATTCGGGAATTTTTTCTTCGGTTTTCGGGTTTGATTACCCGGGAACCGTTACCCGAATCGCTCACGCTTATGTATCTTCCACGGATCAACGAGAACGAGCTTGAAATCGACGGGTCGAAGATCCGACCCGACTCACCGGCATTTGTGACGCTTTACCGGGTCGTGAGCGCGAAGGTGAGGGAGGGGGAGGTGGTGTTCGGGTCCCGGGAACGGGTCGGGGCTGGCGACGGAATCCGGTTCGAGGTGTATCTGAGGGAGGAGAAGGTGCTGAAGGGAATTTTCAGGAAGGACGAGCGGCAAGAGTGGAAATTGGAGTGCAAGTGCGTGCTGGAGGGCGAGAGGGTGGCGGCGGAGGTCGCGGATGCTGAGGTCTGCGTGGCGGTGGAGGGACACGTGGCGATGAACGAGAGAGTGAAGATGGTGGTTAAAAAGACGAAAAAGCACCGGAAATGCGGGTTTAAGCGGCTGGAGGAGATTCCTGAGGAAGGAGCGGTGGATGATGAATATGATGAATCGGACGGCTGTTGTTGCAACTGTAGATCTGACGGTGGAGATTCGGAGATGGGGAGTGACGTGGAAGGTGACGATGAGGGGGAGTTGGAGATGGATATGGAAGGAGTGAGATGGGCCGTGGATGTGGGGATCTGGGTCGTGTGTTTGGGTGTGGGCTACTTTGTTTCTAAAGCCTCTTCCAAAAGCTTAAGACGCAGAAGATTAATCTAAGGCCCATTCAGTTTTTTTTTTTTTTTTCCGTAATTTTCTAATACTAATTTTGGACAATTTGTTTTTATTTTTATTTTTTTTGTCAATAGATTTTATTAGATTTGACGTTAGATTAATCATCGACGGGGTTTGAATCACGCTGTTATACAAAAGTTCAACATCTTTCGACCATTGTGAGGGACATAAAGTTATGAGGTCCAGTTTTGAATGTAATTCTTTCACAACTTAATTACATTTTTACCCCTCAAGTTTCCACAAATTTATTTTCTCATTTTGCCAACTTTAATTTATTTTTGTCCATCAAATTTTTTTTTTATGCACTAAATTCAAAAGCTAAAAACGCACACAAATAGCCGCCGGATTTAATCACAGATTTAATTTGTTTTGTGGGAAAAGTTAGTTGCACAACACCAATTAGTGTTTCATCGACTTTTAGAATATTCCAATACCAATTATTTGTGTTTTTTGCATCCATTGGGCTCCAATCATATACATACATACACTTACCTTTCACCCAAAAAGTCATATAGCCTTTTCCCCCAAAACTTTTTTTCGGTTCGGCAAAAGTGCTTTAAAAGCTTAAGTTGATGACCTTATCTTTGGCCATGACTAAAACTTGACTTTATGCTTTCTATCCTCTCTACTTACGTTCCACCACTAGAGAGATAATACATATGAAATGATTTGAAAGTTGTTTCATAGTATTTTATCTCAAAGTAGTGTTAAAAAGGGAATGTCAGCCTACCTTTCTTTTGGCGCCTTCTCTATCTTCTTTCACGTTTCTCACATAGTTATATGATGATCGATCTCATTCATTTTTTATGCTCATCTTTCAAGAATCATTTCATGCACAAAATATTTCAAAATTAAATTAGTCATTCGATTTAAGTAACATTACTTGAGCTCGTTTTTCAACAGGTACATCACTTAATCTCCATTTGATTTACCTTGTCCTTGTGCCTAAAATATAACATCTATAAAGATACCTATATACTATGAAATGTGAATGTTCACCAAGAAATTACGCAAAATCGGTATTTTGAGCATAAAGATTATGCGACCTGTACAAATTGGCCTAATCTTCGCTTCACATTGAATTAAACCACATGCTCCAGCTTGTCTAGATCTACGTCAATTGAGTTTTCCTTGTTACTATTGTGATTGTACACTAGCTAAGCTATGTACATATTTGCTTTGTAAAATTAAATTGTCATTTTAGCAATTGTTCAAAACTTCTTATAGGGTGGATGCAATTTATGACTATTTACATTTGTACTTGCAATCTTGAGTTTTGTGTTTTTCGGTATTTAAATATTGTTTTTATAAAAAAGAAACAATAATAAAGGGTTTTTTTTTAGCCAAAATGGGCCATGAGATTTGCATAACACATCACTTTGATTCCTGAGATTTGAAATCAATAGAAGTGATCCTTGAGATTGTCCACCATCAATCATTTTGACCATTGGTACAAAATTATGTTAAATAAGGATAAAAATGATAAATATACCCTCAATTTAATAAACAATAGGCCAAAATTGTAACATCCCACATCTCCCAGGAGAGTGGATCATATAAGCCTTATATGTATATTTCCATCTCTACCTAGCACGAGACCTTTTGGGAGCTCACTGACTTCGGATTCCATCGGAACTCTGAAGTTAAGTGAGTTCACACGAGAGCAATCCTAGGATGGGTAACCTACTAGGAAGTTCTCGTGTGAGTTCCCAGAAACAAAACCGTGAGGGCGTGGTCAAGGCTCAAAGTAGACAATATCGTGCTACGGTAGAGTCGAGCTCGGGATGTGATAGGGGCTCGGGCCGGGATGTGATAATTTGGTATCAGAGCCAATCCCTGGCGAAAGTGTGCCGACGAGGACGTCAAACCCCTAAGGGGGGCAGATTGTAACATCTCACATCACACAGGGGAGTGAATCATGTAAGCCTTATATATATATATATATATATATATATATATATATATATATATATATATATATATATATATATATATATATATATTAAGGGGAGGGATCCCCATTTTTTTTGAAAAAATGGGGATCATTCTGCTAACCGTTGGATGAAATGGGTGGTTGAGATTAAATGGGGATCCCCATCTTTCTTTTTCCTTTTTCTTTTCTGGTTCCCGCCTTTTCCGTGCGACACAGGCACACTGCATCTCCCACGAACAGAGCACAATACCAGCCAAATCACAGGCCATCGCGAATAACCTTTGAGATTTCTGAGATTTCAGGTATGGGTCTCCTCCTCATTCACTATTTTAGAGGATTAATTTGGATTTGGATTGAACAAATGGGGTTTTTTCTAGTTCTCTCCTCTCCCACGAACAGAGAAGCAGTTGTGTTTCGGTGTGCGTTAGTCGATCATACTTAAAACTCACAAAATTCTAATCGAATACCCTCTAATTGAAAAGGAACTCTTCATTAACAACCAAGGAGCCAAGTTTATCCTTTTTAGTAATCATGTGGGTTTTTCTAGTTAAAGTAAATAGAAATTGTGAGAAGAATTGGCAAACATGGAGGCTGGAAGAGTTGACCTCGCAGGTGGGCAGCCTGTGAGAGCAGCTAAGAAGACAAATTGAAATAAATTGAAAAGGAACTCTTCATTAACGATATACGCCGCTGTAATAATTGGGATTGTCTTGGAAACCCACTAAAGAAAACTGACCTTGAAGAGGTTTATCGCCTTGGAAAAGCATGTTACTCACATAGACAGTTCATTGAAAATCGAGAGGCAGTGGACGAGATAGAAAATAGAAATTCGGGTTGGTTTTTGAGTTCTAATTCAACTTGGTTACAGATTTTTCTTGAATAATTTGAGTTTTGTTCTTATTTTCAAGTTTTGTTGATGCTTTTTATTATTCTTTTTGGTGTGAATGTTTGATTGTGCTAATGTTCATGTTCAAGTTATGGAAGCTAATGAGATGACTATTGAAGTTACGGGAACTGATGAAATCCCTATTCAAGTTATGGAAGCTATGGAAGCTAATGAGATGACTATTGAAGTTACGGGAACTAATGAAATACCTGTTCAAGTTATGGAAGCTAATGAAATGCAAGTTCCAATGGAAAATCAGTCAGAAATTGTAGCTGGTATTTGTTTTTTCTATCCTCAAGTAACAGATGAGTTCAAGCCTACCATAGGTCAAAGTTTCGAAACATTAGACGAAGTGCTTGAATTTTACAACAATTATGCAAGGGAGGCTGGGTTTAGTGTCCGAATGCATTCAAGTAAGAAAAATAAGGATGGTGAGATCACGAGAAAGGAGTTTGTGTGCAACAAAGAGGGAAGTAATACAAAAGAATGGATTGGTGACGAACAAAAGCGTCGTGGATTAACCAAAAAGGGTTGTAAAGCAAGATTGATAGTTGTGAGATCTAAACTTGGTGGGTATGCAATCACCATATTTGACGAGGGTCATAATCATCCAATGACATCCCCAAGAAGACGCCACTTGCTAAAGTCTCATCGCAAGGTTACTAAGTGTTATAAAATATTAGTTGATCAGCTAGACATGGCAAACATACCTCCACACAAAAAATTTGACATTCTTGGATTGCAGGTAGGTGGAATTGAAAATGTTGGTTGTACACAAGAAGATTTAAATAACTATCGAGGAAAAGTGCGAAACAAGATGAAGGGGCATGATGGAAAAATGTTGCATGATCATTTTTTGCTAGAGCAAGAAAGAAATTCTGAATTCACATTCAAGATTCAAGCAAATGAAGAACACAAGATTACTCAATGTTTTTGGGCCGATGCAAGTTCTAGGCAAGCATACAAGCTTTATGGTGATGTGGTCATTTTTGACACTACATACAATACCAACCGGTATAGTATGATATTTGCCCCGTTCATGGGTATAAACAATCATGGTCAAACAATCATTTTTGCTGGTGCCTTTCTAAGTGACGAGACGAAAGATTCATTCGTTTGGTTATTTAGAGAATTTTTGAATGCCATGCCTGGTGATGCTCCAAAAATGATTATTACTGATCAAGATCCGGCAATGACAAAAGCCATTCCTTACTGTTTTCCAAACACGTTTCATAGATTCTGTACGTGGCATATTTTGGATAAGTTCTCGAGCAAGCTTCCTGCGATGAAATACAGAGATCATTATTTAGATTTCAAAGCATGTATTTGGGAGTCAGAGACTAGATAGGAGTTTGATGTGAAATGGATGGCCGTTGTTTCAAAAAGTGGATTATCTGGTAATGGCTGGTTGCAATCGATATATAGGATTCGATCTACTTGGGTTCCATCCTATATGAATCATGTTTTTTCTGCAAATTGCTCAACTAGTCAAAGAGCTGAGAGTGGACATTCATTTCTAAAGAAATATGTTTCCAAGAACAACTCCTTCCTCGAGTTTATGGTTAAATATAATAGGGCATTGGTACGCCAACGCCATTCGAAGTTGAAGGCAGATCATATTGATTTGAACGAGAGGCCAAAACTCAAATGCCCTATTAAGATGGATGCGCAAATGGCCAATATTTATACACGTAGCTCTTACCTTGATTTTCAAGAGCAGTTGTGGGAAAGTTACAGCTATAATATTGAGCTTACAAGCGAAAATGATTCTTGCAGCATGTTTAAAGTTTTGCCCATTGATGACGAAAATGGTAGAGTTCGTGAAATTTTGTATGAAAAATCCAAGGATTTTGCATCATGTAGCTGCAAACAATTTGATAGTTCAGGAATCCCATGCAGCCATCTTTTGGCATATTTGCATAGAATACGTCAATTTCAGATATTGCCGGATGAATACATTTTGAAGAGATAGACTAAATCTGCAAAATCTTTAGGTACGGTTTCTAATGTGGAGATATCTGTCAACAAATCCGTATTTGAAAGGCGTGGAAAATTATTCCAACAATATTCGCATTTGATTGATAAAGTCATTCTAAATGATGAGGCAAGTAAACTCTTTTGTGAGGCGATGTATGCTATGAATGAGAAAATTAAGTCATTGGTTGGTGGTACCAATGAAAATGTGGAACTTTCTGCAACCAAAGGAGATATGGAATGTCGTGCAAAAAGAAAATCGATAGTAGATGATGTTGGTTTTCTTGAACCTGATCCTGTTAAGACCAAAGGATCTGGAAAAAGACTTAAAAAGGGAAAAGAGAAAGGAAAATGCAAGAAGAGGGTTAATGGTAACCTTTGTCATGGGTGTGGGCAATATGGAGTTAATCATGACAAAAGAAATTGTTCGGAGCTCCACAATCGGTAAGAATACATACTCCACGTGTTTTTCTATGTATATCGTGCAATTAATATATCAATAGTTAAAATGCGTTTGTTGTCTTTGATGTATAATAGCATTATTATTGTTAATCAACATTTTTATGATTTCTATTTTGGTTAATTGCAGGATGAGCAGCACTCATTGTCTATAAGAAGCTGATCTCATTTTTTTTTTGTTCCTAATTTGCATGGTGTTAATGAGGTTCCTCTGTTTTGCATAAGTTTATTCTATGAATTTGGAGGAATTGGCCATGAACTTGCAGGATGAGGAGCACTCATTGTCCATAGGAAGCTGATCTCATTTTTTTGTTCTAAATTTGCATGGTGTTAATGAGGTTCCTATGTTTTGCATAAGTTTATTCTATGAATTTGGAGGAATTGGCCATGAACGTGATGGAATTCACGTATTTTGTATGACTTTATTTAGAAATTTATAGTTCAATGATAAAGAACAATAACATACCAACTTTAGAGGCAACATGGAAGACATCAAATGGTTTTTTTTATTTCATGAATATCAATCCAATTCTTTTACAGTGCTTCTCATACACAGTAAAAAACAATAACAATTGACAAAATGCCGATAAATAACTTTTGAGTCAACATGGAAGACATCCGCAACTTCTTTTTCATATTGCTGCTTGCTGCTAATTGCTAAAGCTTGAGTTTTGCAACTTCCTTTTCATACTCTGCTTGTTGGTTGCTACTCATCAACTCAGCAACTCAAATAGGAAATTCATGATATGAGTGAGGCTTCCTTTTGTTAACCAAGATATGAAAACAGATCAAGCTTGACGAAGGCTCCTGTGATCTTGACGTTTAGCTTCCTCTTTGAAATGAATAAATGCCTTCAATTGATCTTCACTCTCCCATGCAGTGCCATAGATCCTCTGCAGCATTGGTTTCATTTCATCTTCTCTGCATAATCGATTTCTTTTCATCTACTCTTCAGCAGGATTCTAGTTCGGCATACTATGAGGAACTATGGCATAAAGACAGTCTAATAGGACAAGATGCTAGTTCAAAACACAATCAAATCCCAGTACAAGCATGCATATGTATAAACATAAGTATAATTTGGTTAGCTTGACCAAAAGGTTCCTCCCACCTTCAAATTAGTCTCCTTTTCAATCTGCATATCAATAACTCATTTTTAAAGAGCACCAACAACATTGTTTGCCCTAAAACCCTAAACCTTAAACCCTCTCTTTTTTGTTCCTCTAAATTTCCATCTTAAGACTCAACACAAAGTGCTTTCTGGTGTTTTAAAGGTATCTGTCTATGTGCAAGTCGAACCACATTGACCAAATATGCACAAGAAAAAACATTAGCTGCCCTGCACAAAATCATTCGGCAAACTGATTAAGATTTTCATACCAAAATACAACGATTTGTACAAACGGACAAGGAAAATGAAATAACAAATGTCTAGAAATTGAAAGACTAATAAAGTAAGATTATGACCAAAGTCTCATCATAGTAAACATACAGAAAGCATACCTTGCAACTATACTAATTCAAAGGATACAATTGAGAAAAAAATGAACCCCACATGTGACCAGCTATGTTGTTCCTTGGCAATATCAAAACCCATGTATATAAACCTGAAAATTAAGGTTTTCATTTCAAAACAAGTGTGGTGTGTCATGTGCAAATAACAGCTTAAATACTGGATATGTGATCAAGACAATGAAAAGCTCACTTACACAAACGTCTCCGCTAGTGATGATATCAAATGGAAAAAGGAAGAAACAAATATTTGAGAGTTTTCTGATAAATTTGAATACGTATAATGCTTCATGACCTAAAACAGAACACCAGTTTGTCCATGGCACAGCTTTACCGTAAAATATATTAAAAAGAAAAAAATGTACAGTTCTTCCACTTACCATTCCTGTGAACAATATTGACACAATACCAGACAGACCAAGACCTTCTGCAAGCATGTAACTAAACAGATGATAGTTCTATGTCAATTTGCATATAAGGAGAAGGCCTTAAAACTAATTTACTTAAGATGAAAAAGGGCCAAAAAGATCACTCACGAGAAATATGGAAAGAGGACAAACAGACAGCACTCCAAGTTTTGAAGACTGAAAAGATAACAAGACAACCTCGTTATTTCCGTCGTAGTACCAACTAAACAAAGGCCATCAAAGAATGGAAGAAAAGAATCAGAACGCAATAGGATTTTGCTTTTAGAATTTGAAAAATATAAACCCCAATTGTTCAACCCAAATTCCAAATTAATCACCTAAAATAGTGAATGAGGAGGAGACCCATACCTGAAATCTCAAAGGTTAGAGGCGATGGCCTGTGATTTGGCTGGCGCGAAGCTCTATTCGTGGGAGATATTTGTGTCGCAAGGGAGAGGAGAGAACCAGAAAAAACCCCAATTGTTCAATCCAAATCCAAATTAATCCTCTAAAATAGTGAATAAGGAGAAGACCCATACCTGAAATCTCAAAGGTTATTCGCGATGGCCTGTGATTTGGCTGGTATTGCGCTCTGTTCGTGGGAGATGATGTGCGCCTGTGTCGCACAGAAGAGGCGGAAACCAGAAAAGAAAAAGGAAAAAGAAAGATGGGGATCCTCATTTAATCTCAACCACCCATTTCATCCAACGGTTAGGAGAAGGCTCCCCATTTTTTCAAAAAAATGGGGATCCCTCCCCTTAAGCTCTCCGTATATATATATATATATATATATATATATATATATATATATATATATATATACACGTAGCACGAGGCCTTTTGGGAGCTCACTGACTTCGGGTTCCATCGGAACTCTGAAGTTAAACGAGTACGTACGAGAGCAATCCCATGATGGATGACCCACTAGAAAGTTCTCGTGTGAGTTCCCAGAAACAAAACCGTGAGGGCGTGGTCGGGGCCCAAAACGGACAATATCGTGCTACGATAGAGTCGAGCCCAGGATGTGGTGGGGGCTCGGGCCGGGATGTGACAAAAATTATAGGTATTTTGGTCATTTTTATTATTTAACAAATATTTTTCACGAAATGATCAAAATGATTGATGGTGGACAATTTCAGGAACCAATTATATTGATTTCAAATCTCAGATACTAAAGTGAAGAGTTATGCAAATCACAAGAGACCATTTTAACTAAAAAACCTAATAAACGCACATTCTTATTTAATCATAAGCATAAGGGTGTGATATCCACACACCTTTCTAATTTTTGGTCGTCAAATTGGATGAATCAAAGAAAATCAACGGACATAAATTAACAAAGGGTGTGTGAGAAGTAAAATGAGATGTGTGTGGATAGCACACCCCTAAGCATATACTGTAATACCCTGAAAATTTAAATGTATGAATTAGATATTCATAATTATGAATATGTGGAGAAAATCAAGAATAAATCAATTTATGGGTATGAAAAATTGAATTTAGAACTTTTAAGGTTTTGTTTCTGGAAATTATTATGAATTATGTTATGAAATTTATCGTAAGTTGAAAAGACGAAAATGTCCCTAGTTGGCTTAACATAATTATACGAGGATGTATTTTATCCTCATATATTTTGACATATTTGGATAGAGGACAATTCCACAAGCGTGTAGGAGAAAACCGTTGGACAAACAGGGTTATAACAAATGAAATAGAACCGAATGAAAGTAGGGGCAAAATAGTCATTTTGCCATGATTTTGGGAAGGTTGCAGATTAGGTTCTGGATGGAAATATGCTACGAGAAGAAAAGAAAAAAGGGGGGGAACTAGAGAGAAAGAAAAAGAAGAAAATAAAAAGGGGGGGGGAAGAGTCCAATGGGAAAGAAAGGAGGAACTTGAGGGTTAGGACTGGCCAATCGAAAGAGGGAGAAGGGAAAGGAAAAGAGAGAAGGGAAGAAGGAGGAAAACATGTCCCTTTCAACCCGTTCCCTTTTGTGACCCGACCCGATTGGAAACCTAGGGTTTCCGATGCACTTTTTGACCAAATTCAGGTGTTTTAAGTCGAGCAACCCCCTAAGAAACACCCCATGATCTTCCCTCTATCAATTTCACCTTAAAAATGGGAAGAATTGGCCTTGATTGGGTGAAACCTGCACCTGTATGTGCGATGGTATCTTGTCTAACAACCACCAATCCTGAACGTTTTTGTTCGATCACCCCCACCTATAGCTTCCTTTTGAGCTTAGGAACAAAGCCCAAACAACTATAGGGGTGGTTGAGCACTGAAAAGGAAGAATCGAAACCACCCAAATTCTAGGGTTCCGACGGATTCATGGTGATTTGAGATTTTTCCCGGTCGAATTAGACTTTGGCCTATGTATAAAAGTTGTTCCCTTTGACTTGCTCTACATTTTTGTAAAATTTGAGAATTTTTAGAAATCGTAGAATTTTCCAGCGAGTTGGGGCGGCTAACCGACACCTATGCCGGCGCGTGGCCAGTGGGCCGACGTTGCCTTTTTATGCAAATTTAGGTATTTTAAATCCGAAATTGGTAACCATTTAGTGTGATTCGATTATGAAAGTTAATGTTTAATATTTCTGTTTCTAGAATATTTTCGGAAATGGCTATAAGAAGGGATTTAAACGGAACTATGAACTACGAAGGTTTGATCCCATTAAGGGGTACATAGGCAGTCTAACAAGAGTTAGATGCAGCCTTAATAATTGAGATTTAATCTTTAGTTGGGAAGTTGATTTAAGAGGAGAAGTTTGTGATAAATTATGAAAATTTAATCGTATGTTTTGGTAAGTTAGTTATGGTTATAGTTTTTTGTGAGGGATTAAGAAAATTAAATAAAGAATCGTGATTATTGGAAGTAATGTAAACAAGAATTTAATTTGGGCCTATCATTGGAATTATTTCCCGAAAATAAATATTTCGAGGGCGGGGTGTTACATATACTACCTTTTTTTCAACAATAAAAAGGATCCCCTCGTTAAAAGAGCCTCAATGAAAAGTAACATATCGTTAAGAAAGATACAACAATTAACAAATGGGTAAATTACACTGTACCACCTCAGGTTTGAGGTCTATTACAACCTCATACAACATCTTCAAAACATTTCACTTTCATACCTCAAGTACTATTTTATTTCAATATAATACATCCGTAACATTTTTCATCCATTGATCCGTTAAGAGCTGACGTGGCTGCCACATTTGTGCCATGTGGCTACCAAATATGGGCCACGTGGCAATTTTTTTTTTATACATTAAAAATAGTATAATAATTTACCCTATAAAAAAATATAAAAAAAACAAAAACTGAAAACCCATAAACTCATTCCCCCGACCACCTTATCCTCCTCTTATCCACTCTCTTCACCTCCCATCCCATCTAAAAACCCACCATCTCCCACCCCACCCCCACCTCCCTCACAACCTTCGACCTAGAACCCCTATTTCAGGTCTAAGCTCTTCAACATCGATGACAACTGTGGATGCAAATTTCCGCATTCTTCTTTTTGGACAAAATTGCACCAACAAAACAATTAACACCTTAGGTCAAGGCCAAGAGCCTCACGGGCCCACGATGAATGGCGGGGGGGGGGGGGCGCTTTGGCCGAAGCACATCCGATGCCAAAGTTAGAATTTAGAGAGAAAAATATTTGGAGAGTTTTTGGGAGTTTTGCAAGAGTGTGGACCTCTTTTTTAGAAAAAAACAGGGTCATATATATAGGGAATGGAGGTGGCCAGCCCTTAAAGGTTTTTTTGTGTGAAAATGGGTGATTTAATTGGTGATTAATGGATTAATTAGCCAATTAATCTCCATTTATATGGAATAATTTGTAGGTTATGAAGTAATTACCTAAGATGAGGATGGATGAGATAATTTGGAATTGGTTACATTTTTTGGAAACTCTTGGCTTGATGAAAGAATGATTGTCCATTGCTCGCGCGTAGGACAACTGGTGTGTCTCAGTGGTAACTTTGTCCTTTTTACCAAAAATCCACGTGTCGCTTTGTGATTATTTTTTGCTCTACAAATGCCCCCACACCTGCTGAGCTGCTCGTAGGAAATGGCAACAGGTATAGAGACCTTCTTGCTCTAGGAAACTTAGGACTGATTCCTGTTTTGATGTAGATTCCTTCTTTAATATGAAATTAGATCCTTCTAGGAAAAGGAAATAAATTTCTCTCAAAGCCTATTTAAGTCCACCTTAAGTGGGTTATTAAATCAACTTTGGAGAGTGATTTATTCTACCCTACAAGAGAGAGAGAGAGCTTAGATGATATTTGTTCCCCCTCCTCTAGCAATCTTTTACATCTTACCTGTGCAAAGGACCGTTTTTCATTGCTTTCTTCGTCTTCTCTATGCTGCACCAATGTAATAAAAACTTAATTTCTTCTTGTCTTCTTCTTAGGTGGTGCTACCACGGGGTAGTCGTCGGGGTGGTGCGGCACATCGGCTGGCAGAGGCCAGGAGTCGACTTGGCATGGGCCAATGAGGTGATGTGGCAGGGGCCATTGCTTGAGCAACTCGGCTTGATTGAAGCCAAGGATTGGTTCGGCATAGGCCGAGGAAGTGGCGTGGAATAGGCAATTGTTTGGGCTGCCACGTCTGGGCTGTCTGCTGAAAATGAGGAAACTGCTTGAGTTTGATTTTTCAACTGCCATAAAATGAGCAGTCAAGGATAAAGCTGCCAATATCAAAGTTGCTGAAGATGAAGTGTTGGATAAGCGAACTGTTAAGTGTAAAGTGGCTGCTGCCCATAAACATTTGTTGCTTAGTTGATATTCAAGCATTCGATCTTTTGAACTATGTGGCATTCTCGCACTGGAGAGCTTACCCATATGGGTGTCAAGGATTTAGTTTACCCCTTCATACTGGAGAACAATTAGTTTTACCCTCTTGTATTGAAGAACAATTAGTTTATCCTCTCGTACTGGAAAGCAAACCCATATGGGTGTGGGGGAATTGGTTTACCTTCTCACACTGGAGAGCAATTAGTTTATCCTTTAGCACTAGAGAGCAAACTCATATGAGTGTTAGGGAATTGGTTTACCCTCTCGCACTAGAGAGTAATTAGTTTATCCTCTCGCACTGAAGAGCAAACCCATATGGGTGTCGGGGAATTGGTTTACCCTCTCACACTGGAGAGCAATTAGTTTATCCTCTCGCACTGGAGAGCAAACCTTTTTGG